AGTTTTACCCCACCCTCTGTAGGCCCTATGAGTCAGAACTGACTCCAGAGCAGTGGCTTTGGATATAGCGTATATACTCGAGTATAAGCGGGCCCGAATATCAGCTGAGGCACCTAATTTTACCACAAAATGGCATTAAGAATGTGCTGCAAAACTCGGCTTATACACCAGTATGTACGGTAAGCAAGCTTTCTGCGGTGCTTCATGGTACTCATTGGTGAAGTCCTTCAGAGCGCTGGCTAGACTGAGATGTTACACACGATAAACCTTTTAAAATAGAAAATGATACTCAATACATTCAGAAGGTGCTTAGTACTGTGGGAATACAAGTGGCTATTATTAAATGGAGCATTCGATGAAGCGTCTGAGTGACTGGCAGAGCGGCCGCAGCAGTTTGATTAGGCTTCTGCGTGACCCGTGGGGCTGTGGAAGCTTTCGGAAGTGAGTCCTCAGGGTTTGGATCTCCAGCCAGAGGAGAATCACTGGGAGGAAAGAAGAGGAGGTACCTGGTTTGGGGATTATTGTTTCATGAGGAACAGAATCTCTGAACAAAACTGGAGCTGATCCAACAAACACAAAGAGAGGGTATCTCTGCTTCCTGCAGGTCCTAAGGACCAAAGAAAATGATCAAAGCTCAGCAACCAGTGACACTCAGTGACGTGGCTCTAAAGTTCACCTGGGCGGAGTGGCAGTGCCCGGGCCCCGCTCAGAAGACCCTCATTCAGGATGTGATGTTGGGAGACCTACAGCCACCTGGTTTCCAATGGTTATCAAATTAGCAAACCTGATGCGTTCTCTGGATTGGAACAGGGGGCACAACCAGGATCCACATTAGAACAAAGCGATGGTGGAATGTGTCCAGACTTCCATTTCGTCTCCCCCTTCTTGTGGGAAGCAACCAGGAAGACAGCCTATGTGGGCAAATTGTGAACATCCCCACGTGAAGGAGCCTGGGAGGCCAAGGCTCCCCTAGAGGAAATCTTTCTGTTCGTGGGTTGGAGATATGTCCCACTCAGCTCCTCCTAAGTAAAAGTCATTCCCCACAATGACCCCCCATAATGATGTCAAGTTTAAGGTGCTGTCTGCAAACAGTGGTTGCTCACTAAACTCTTGAGTTGTCAACTGCTTGAGGGTTATCTGCCTAAAGGCTGTCAGCCATCTAAGGCCATCAGACCCAACTACCTGTCCCACCCTAAGTAGGATCCACTCCCTTCTGATAAGGATCATGGATGGTTCCCCTGGAGAAGAGCTCAAAGACACCTAAGGTCAAGCCAGCTCAGAGAGGACCAAGGTTAGGCTGCCATCTTGACTCTACAGCCAGCCCATCATGCTACATTTGTGCCTTCCTGTCACATGTGCCCCTAGTGCCTCCCCTTCCTATCGTGTGTACACTCCTAGCCCATCCCCTCCGGTTATATGTGCGCCTGCTGCACAGCCCCTTCTTGTTACGTGCTAACCATGGCCTGCGTGCCCCAGATTATTTTAGCTCATGAGAATACACTGCTCTCTCTGCGTGGACCTGGCTCCTGAAGTCATGACTGAGAGGTGAGCCCTTACACACTTAATAATAAAATAAGTGAATAAACTAAATAAAACCTTTTTTTTCCCTAAGTAGGAACCAAAAAACCAAGGATAATAATTAACCGAATTCTGAGCATCTGAAGTCCAATTTTAAAAAAAGGTATCCAAATCAGCAAATCATTTGAATAGGAAATTCAACAGGGAAATCTGAATGGCCAATATACATATGGAAAGATACTCAGACTCATTAGTAACTAGGGAAATACAAATTAAAATAGTAGATACTATTTCATGCCTTCCTAATGTGGAAAAATAAAAATTTTAGAGCTTAAATCTGACAATGTCATGTGCCGGTAATAACTAAGAACAACTGTAATTTTTCTCCGTTGCTGGCAGCTGGGAAGCAATTTAGCATTATCTGTTAAGATTGAAGGTGTGTATCCCCCCTTACCCAACAGTGTTGGAACTCCCAGTGCATCCTCCGGGGAGAAGTGTTAGCACAGGTGCACCATGAGACCCACTCAATGTTCACATCAGCAGTGCTCGTGACACAGACACTAGAAACAAACCAAGTGCCCACCAAACAATGAAACAGACAATTCTCATATAGCATAGTCACACCATGATCGATGGCGCCACGTGGATGACTGTCAGAAACATGGTAAGCCAGAAAGAAAAAAAAATGTCATGTAATAAATATCGCATGGCTCCATTGACAGGAAGTTCAAAACCATGCGGCATCGTAAAAAGCGCCATTCCAAACAGGTCGACTAGAGACTGGTAAAGTTATGAAGAAAAGCAAGGAGCTAATGATTCAGACTGGTTCAGGGCAGGGATTAACCCTGGGGAAGGGGAGGGAAGATGGTGCCAGTTAAAAAATACAGAAGCTTGAGAAGCAATGGGGATTTTGTCCTTAACTAGGCAATATTAACTGAACTATGAACCTTTACACCTCCCCTATATTTTAGAAAAATTATTTCAGGTCTACGCAATTCCAACTCAAAAAAACTAACAACACTTTACCAAAAGAACAGAAGGTGATGAATAAGCAGCCGAGGAATATACAAAATTAGCATGCAAGGCAATGATGGGAGAGAGAGTAGGATTTCATCCAGGAAAAGGTGCCTGGATAGAAATGGGAATGTCTATCCAGAGGTTCATTACATGTCTGGAGGTAGAACAGGAGGGGGGGGGAGAACCAGAGAAGGCAGAATTGTGTGAAAAACACCTCAGTGTGTGTCCTCTGGCATAAAGGAGTCCATGGAAAAATGGAATGAAAAGATCACAGAATTTTTTTTTTTTCCTGTTTCACAGCTTTAAGATCATAGGATTTTCCCACAAACTTTTCACAGACCCTAGGGGCAACCGAACAAGACTGCCTGGCCCGGAGTCCTCCTCACGATGAGGGCCTCCTTTTGTGCTCACCTGCTCTTTACCAAGCACAATGTCCTTGTCCCTGACACCACATCCAAGCAGTCCTCCAGCCTTGCTTTTCTACAAATCATTAGGGGCTCATACAACTCTTATCACAATCCATCCATCCATCCATCCACTGTGTCAAGCCCATTTGTACATTCGTTGCCCTCATCATTCTCAAGATATTTGCTCCCCACCTAAGCCCCTGGCGTCGGCTCCTCTCCATCCTTGCTATCAAGGAGCCTCCTGACTGTACCTGCACTAAGACAGACGTGTTTGTCTCCTGGCAGTCCGTAGCATATTTCATATTGCTCATCAGAGGCATCGGTCCTTCTGCAGTCTTCCTTATTCAATGTCTGACTTTCACATGCATTTAAGGCGACTGAAAACACCAAAGGAGCCTCTGCCGTGGCTTTCCCAGTGAGTGTTCTAAAATACTCACTGGGTTTCCCTCGCTTCTCATTCATTCTTTTTTTAAAGATCCTTTTATTGGGGGCTCTTACAGCTCTTATAACAATCCATACATCAATTGTATCAAGCGCATTTGTACATATGTTG